TGCATTTAGGCATGCACAGATGGTCAAGACATTCTCCTGCAGTTCAAATCGAGCATCAGAATAGGGAAGAAAGGTGATTTTGAATGTGACATGATTGTTGGTGCAAGACGGGCTGATCTGAGAGTGAAAACTGAGATCTGAAACTAAATATACTGGTATTTCCACGCACAACCATCTGTAGGGTTTACAGAGAATGGTCAGAAAAAGAGAAAATATCCTGTGAGATATACCAAATACCTTGCTGATGCCAAAGGTCAGAGAAGAACGGCCAACCTGTAACACAAATAACCTGTAATAATCCACTCGAACAACCGAGGTATGCAGAAAAGCATCTCTGAACACACATTAAACCTTGAGGTGTATGGGCTTCAGCAACAGAAGACCACACCGGGTGCCACTCCTGTCAGCTAAGAACAGGAAACTGAGGCAGACAATTTGCACAGGTTCACTAAAATTGGACAATAGAAGATTGGAAAAACGTTGCCTTGTCTGATGAGTCTTGATTTCTGCTGCAACATTCGGATGGTAGGGTCAGAATTTGCCTTCAACAACATGAAAGCATGGATCCATTCTGCCTTGTATCAAGTGTTTAGGCTGGTGGTGGTGGTGGTGTAATGGTGTGGGGGATATTTTCCTGGCTCACTTTGGGCCCATTAGTTCCAATTGAACATTGTCAAAGCTAAAGCCTACCTGAATATTTCTTTATCTCTATAATCTCTTTATGACCACAGTTTGTCCATCTTCTGATGGCTACTTCCAGCAGGATAATGTGCCATGTAAAGCGTAAACTATCTCAGACTGGTTTCTTGAACATGACAATGAGTTCACTGTACTCAAATGGCCCCCACAGTCACTAGAGCTCAATCCAATAGAGCAGCTTTAGAATGTGGTGGAATGGGAGATTCGCATAATGGATGTGCAGCTGACAAATCTGCAGCAAGTAGTATAGACTTGCAGTATAGACTAAAATCTTGGTGGAATATTTCCAGTCCTTTGTTGAATCTATGCCACGAAGGATTAAGGCAGTTCTGAAAGCAAAACCCAGTACTATTAAGGTATACCTAACAAAGTGACCTGTTAGTGCAGGCGTCACCAAACTTGTTCCTGGAGGGCCGGTGTCTTGCAGATTTTAGCTCCAACCCTAATCAAACACACCTGAATAAGCTAATCAAGGTCTTACTAGGTATACTTGAAACACCCAGCCAGTTGTGTGGAAGCAAGCTGGAGTTAAACCCTGCAGGGACACCGGCCCTCCAGGACCGAGATTGGTGACCCCTGTGTTAGTGTATTTAAACAAGATTTACTAGTATGTCAACATATTGTCATTTTTATGAATTCTTTCTATTTTCTGGTTAAAATGGATTTGCTTTTGATATAGATGTACCTCGGAATAGTCTGTTAGTAAACGGCATGTCTTTACCCTGCATTTATTATGCAAAATCAACTACTTTCATTGAATTTTAAAGAAAAAATACAAATCAACATATCTTAGTCTGAATCTAAATTAATATATGAAAGGGTGCCGATGTGTGCTTTGCCTTAACATACAACCGTGCAATTATTGATGTATTTAGAATAAAAAACAAAGCTTGCATTACTTTCACTGAAATACATCAGTTTTTGTACAATAACTGAAGGATGCCAGTCACATTTTTATCATAATTGTTGAGGTAGAAAGCATCTTAAATTGGAGCGCTAAAGTCTGCTGACATCAGCGATCTTGACAGATGTCATGTTTTATGAAAACACACTCTCAGCAAAGCATTCAGAGATAAAAGCATCAAGTCATTTTGGTCCACAATGAAGCGAGGCCCCTGTTGAACAGCTTCTGTCCATTTGTGCTGCTAAGCTCTAAATGACATTGAGTTCCATTAGCTCATTAGAGGAGAAGCCGTGTTCATTTCATTCACTGAGATAATGAAGCACGCTACTTATTAGCATTTCGCAGTACATGTCAGATGCAGCTCTAGAAATGAGTTCATTGTTTTAAAGTAATTTGACGAGGTGACCCATGACGAGAGACAAGCTTGTGTAGATAAGACAAAGCTTCAAATAAATGATGTGGAAAAGATAAACAAAATTACACAGGGCATAGTCAGACTTTTTATGCCAATTAGCACATGGAAACCTGTGCTAAAAAATATCATTCTCAGTTTCTCTGAACTTACTAGGTTTAGGCAAATTTTTGAGACATGATTTTTGTTTTATTCAATAAAGATCTGGCAAATATTAATTAATTAGTTCTCTTTCAGCTTAGTCCCTTTATTCATCAGGGGTCCCCAACTTATCCATCAAATGTTTTACACAGCAGATGCCCTTCCAGCTGCAACCCATCACTGGGAAACATTCATACACACTCATTCACACACATACACTATGGTCAATTTAGTTTATTTAATTCACCCATGTCTTTGGACTGTGGGGGAATCCGAAGCACCCGGAGGAAACTCACGTGTAGATGGAGAGAACATATATACTCCACACAGAAACACCAACTGACCCAAGCCAGTACTCAAACTAATGACCTTCTTTCTGTGAAGTGACCACTGAGCCCCCGTGTCAGCTGGTTTGGCAAGCATTTATTCCAAATTTCAAATAAAAAAATGGACAGCTGGTCAGAGTAACATTTTCATTTGTTGAGATTGAAAATCAGGGCCGATTCGAATGTTATCACTCAACTGAATGGGTGTTGCCAGTAGTTATGAGCTGATAATTATAGGCCAGTAGGGGCCTTCTGTGTCTACTGTTAGGCTCAGAAGGCTGTTATCATCCATCCACATGGTTAATCAGCTATACATACGGCTGTGGTTGGAAGTTAATGAGAATTATTTAAATAATTTATTTTCTATTAACCAACTGCCACAGTAATGTAAAAACAGATTTGGACCTCTATTAGTATGGCTGAGTAACTATGTGGATGGATAATAACAGCCTTCTGAGCCTACCAATATACGCAGACTGTCCTTACCGGCCCATATCTATCTGATAACCACTGATTCAGCCCATTCAATCAAGCGATAAATCATAAAAAAGATAAATCATGCAGGTGCACCATCACAGTTTATTCACTATAGTTTACAAAATGGTAATAAGTTATGACAAGAACTCAGTTCATTGTTCTTAAACTCTGTCAGAGCAAATTCATCTTGATAATATAACGTAACTTTGATTTAGAATCAAAGTAAAATTTTACCCTAAAGGGGGGAGGAGTAGGGGTGGAAGGGGGATTCTTTAAAATGAAGATACTGATGTAAGAATTTCTGGTTATTTGTGGTGAGATAGGAATTGACTGATTGGTGGATCGAGTATTAGCTAATTCTGGACCAGACGTGATCAATCATAAACACGTGCTCCTCTCGAAACTAGTTCATAAATAAAACCACACTTAAAGATCAAATAGTTTGTTCTTTTTCATGGTGCAACATTTCTACAAGTTTTTTCCTGCTTGCTGCCATGTTTCTGTGTTTCAACCTTGCTCATCGAAACCTAAACTTCTGTGTTTCTCCAGACTGCAACAGCAGCTTCTTCAGTTCCTGTTGTTTTTTTAGTCCACTGCACTTTTTGGTAGTGATGGTGAAATAAAGCTCTCTGAAACAGTGAAGCACTCGACTCGATTGTATCGGAAAAAGGCTCGTTGCTAGAAGCTTTTTAAATCAGAGCTTAATGCGGACCTCTTCTGGTTAAAGTGTGGGAAAGCACTGTGTTGCAAAGATGTCAGATGTTCACAACTGAACAACTTATTTATGTAGTAATACAACAACAGTAATATAAAGAAATTACTTAATTACTGTAGTCTTTACACATAAGGTACAGTATGTTACATTACACCACCGTGACTATTAAAACCCAAAGTATTCAAAAGTCTTTACATATATCGTATTACAACTAGTTCTTCACCCACCCACTCGTTCTAATCTGAGATCGAACCAGCGATTCCTTCATGGGAGGTGAATGCACTAAGCAGATGGCTATAGGAATATGGCTTTTGGGCTGCACTCGCCAGCTGGCCTCCGTTAAACACGATATGCAGTGGTTTTCTTGAAAGATAGTTGTAAAAAATACGCTTATACACTTTTGTATGGTTCAAAACCGTTTTACTATAAATTACTATGGTATTTTAGTTTAATAACGTGTGTGTGGGACCGGTGCAGTGCTTTGAAGCAGTAGGAATGTATGTAATCGATGCCTAATCTCTCGCTATACACTTTACTAACCCATGAGGGTGTTTAAACCTTTGAATCAAAGTTCGAAGCAGTCACGTGGGTATATGCGAAAATGAAGCTTCGGACATCACTGATCACGTGATGAAGGCAAACCGTATTAAGCTCCGGTACACTGCTTCCCTGCGAGATGTATCGTTTTTTTGATACATGCTTCAAAGCCTCTGCTCACAACATCACATCACTACTTTTTGTGGTATAATAATAGCAGTTTACCTTGGTTATTTATTACTATTGTTATCATTATTGTTACTCTTATCTAATTGTATTCATTATGTTGCAATTCTTGCCTTCTCATGGCAGCATATGCTTTTTTTGAGTTATTTTTACCAGACAACTATTGCTGACACATGATGATATTTGAATTAAATATTTGAAACCAATATGCAAATTCCCACTGCAGTCTGACAAATGAATTTTTTATGCCTATAGGCTACATGTCTGTTTCAAACTATCGGCCCAATTATGCTAGTTGCCAGAAGGACATTTCTAACTCTAAATGATTCTGCTATCGAGTAGAGAGGTTTGAGACCAATTATCCTGCTTAAAACCAAATGACTGTTTGCTTAGCAGTAAACGCCACTCATTAGGGCTTCAATATTGATCAAGTCAGCGCTTGAAATCCGTGACAAGTTTGAGTCCACCAAGTCAGCGGCAGAGTTTTGGTGCTACTTTTAATGAAGGGAAAAATTATGATTCATCACCTTGTGACACAACAACACTGTTAAGAATCTTCTGACACACACTTTTTTTTTTCTCTCGCGCTCATTCTTTCTCTAGGTTTGCCTTTATTCTGTGGCTTTCAACAGTGAGTAAGTCTGGTGGTCTTTGAGCTGCTTCAGCCTGCCTTCATCTCACAGCTGGGAGATCCAGCTCTTCTGTTCACTGCCATCCATGGAGCCCCAAAGGCCTTACTGGCATAAATCAGTGAGTAAAAAAAAGCAGTCGTTCGCATTTCTGTCAGTCACAAGTAAGCACTGCCTGGTCACTTTGTGGAGAATGTGGAGTTTCTTTGTGACAAAATAAGGCTGGCAGTTGTCAGTTTGTCCTGCTGACATTGCAGCCTCTTCCTTCACCTTCAGTTTAATTAGGTGCTGCTCTTGTCAGTCTTACAAGAGAGAAAACGACCCGTGGTTTCTTAGATGAATGCGGAGAGCATAGAAGGAAGTACTGTAAGAGAGAAAGAGGTTTAAAAAAAGAGGACTGGATGGGGCTTTTCTGCCAAAAAGGGTATTGATAGTTTGTTTTTATTTTTTATAATATAATATAATATAATATAATATAATATAATATAATATAATATAATATAATATAATATAATATATAATTTATTTCAATATATGTTTTAATTATTATTTTTTAAAAATGTTTCATGTATTTTATTTTCCTCATAAAGAAACATATTATTTGGAAGTATTATGAAGTACTTTATTATAAAAGTAGACGGTTGATTACAAACAATTTATATTTAAAAAATTGTCATACAAATTGACAGGTTTAATTTTTCAGGTTAGAAAGTAAATAAATAAATACAAAAGCAAATACAGCAATAATATAGATTCAAAATAACTTAACAAACTTTGAAAGAAAAAAGAATAATAAACAAATTGCAACATTAATATTAAAAAAATACAGACTAATTTATATACTTTCAGTGTTTGTCAGTTTAAGAAAAGAGTCACCATTTAGATTTTCCAAAAAGTCTTAGAATATTTTTCAAATAGACCAAATTATATGAATTTTGCTTTTCAAAAAATAGGTTATCTTTTCTAAGGCAAGAGGTGTGTGTGTGTGTGTGTGTGTGTGTGTGTGTGTGTGTGTGTGCGTGCGTGCGTGCGTGCATGTGCTTGCGTGTATATATATATATATATAGATAGATAGATAGATAGATATTATTTTATAAATTATTGGAAATGTATTTATAATAAAAGAACCCTTTTATTTAATTCTAATAATGATAAAAAAAATCAATAGCCCACTGGTTCTGGGTAGTATTTAAAAAGTGGACCAGTTTAAGTTGTTTCCTTATTTAATGAATCGTTGTTGTTTTTTTTTCTTAAAAAAAAACTTTATTTAAATAAAAGCATTTATTTTTAGTTTTGTAAAGGAATATACAAATATAATGTTTTGTAAATTATAGTTTTGATAGTACAAACTATTTAAACTCTTATTATTTAATTTTTCAAGTTTTACATCCTTCATTTTGTTTTTTGTTTCGTTTTGTGTCATCTCAGCTTTCTAAAGTCTTTTCAAGTCTTTACCTAATCAGCACCATGGACAGCAACTTTAACATTATGACTAATGTTACTTTAGAGCAGGAGTGCCCAAACCTTTTTGTCTGAAGGGCCAATTTACCAAACTGTTACATTAAAGGGTCCCACTTTATATTAAGTGGCCTTAACTAATATGTACTTACACAGGAGATAATGGTTTGTTACAATGTACTTATTGTGTAAATACATGTATTTACTGTGTACTTATGCTTGATTAAATACATGTTTGTAATTACATTTGTAAATACACTGTTGAACGTCCCTTACACCCTAACCCACCCTTAAACCTACCCATACCACCAAACCTGTCCATAACCCAACCTCTATCCCAACTCAAAAGAACCACAAGTGTTCTCAAATACATTATAAACACAGTAAGTACATTGTATTTTTTTGATGTAAGTACACAGTAGTTAAGGCCACTTAATATAAAGTGGGATCCATTAAAGTTGCTATGGGTAACTTCCTCATTTATTTATTAATATGTAAAAGTAAAAAAAAACAACATTATTTTAAATCATATTAACTAACGCAGTCTAGCTTTGCTAAATGAGAACATGCTGCAATAAAAACAATCACATTTATAACACAGTGGAGTTCAACGCTGAATACCCTAGTCAAGCAGTATCTGCCTTTGACTTGATTTGCTCACCAAAATCTCTGCATTGACAGGTGACAGTATGTAGGCCTACATTTAAACAAAATCTGATTAAATTATGAAATGTAATTGAAATATTTAATTTCAGTTAGCTTTTAACATTAAAACAAATAAAGGGTTACATTAAATTTAAATTGACAATCTCGAAACATTTGCTTCATTTTACCTCTCTTTTCAGATGGGATGGTGGGCCAAATCAAAGGTTACCATGGGCCAACTTTAGCCCGCGGGCCCTAGTTTGGGGATCACTGCTTTAGAGCAAAGAGGTTGCAAAACTATTTATTTCAATTAATCATAAACCATTCAGTCTAATAAAGAAAACAACTCGTTTTGGAAGTTTAACAGTTTTAATGCCAAATGTACTTGGTTCTCACAGAGATGTTACAGCTGATTAACTACTATTTTATCCAATTATAGCACATTTTCCACTTTCCTGTTGTGAAACATCTGTTGCTTGGCCTTCATTAGTTTTCTCTAAGAGAGTCCTGCCAAATGTTTGGATCTTAAGGCTGTTATTATTTTTTTAGCTGCTTGTGTTGTCATTGTGATCATCTCAGTATTTTACATGGTGTTTGTGATTTTGTGTAGGAGTCAGTTATCATAATTAATATTCATGACGATGAAACAGGATTCTTTATAAGTGTTGAAATCTGGATACATGAGTTACGGCTTGTGAATTATTATTTTTTATGTAGAGGTGCAGTATGTATGCTTGATAAATAGTGGTTCAAGTAGGTATTGTGATTTATTCTCAAAATGTTGGAGAGGATTTTTTTTCATAACAATGACTCTAACATTCAGGTTGCCAGATTGATGACACAAAGAGGAGCGTGCTTGATTATAGAGCCTTGCACTGTAAACTGCTTAGCTAATGTTATGTTTGTAATATTCGCTAATTAAATAACTTAATTTTTTCGGTGACTTAATCCTGTAAGTTACCTTTACATTTAAGATCCTGTCTAATAGGCTATATTAGGTCTGACTGACCTGAAAAGCAACCAGTTAAAGTTTATGCTCAGCATTATGTTTATAGTATGAAAATGTAATGTTGATGTTCCTAATAGGGAAATGATTAAAGAATGTTTTCTTTATCATTAACTGTCTATGACGTTAACTCACTTCTCCAGCCTCCAGGCTGCTTGGCCAGAGGAGAACTGGCCGTGCCTAACTGAGCCTGGATTCTCTTTAGGTTTATTCCTTTACTTTCATGAATTGGTGAAGTTTGTTCGTCGTCACTGGCTTGCTTTTATTTGGATTTGTGTTTTTTTTTTTTTAATTTAAAGGGCACCTATTGGTGAAAAATCTATTTTTCAAGCTGTTTGGACAGACATATTGTATACGTATAGTGTATAGACTGTCATATTGGGTGGGATGATATAAACAGACCCGGTCCTTTTTTTTTAAAATTTATTTTTTTTTTTCAATTTAACAACATGAAAACGGTGGTCTAATTGGAGCGGTTTTCAGATCGACCACTACTTGACGTAGGAGTGCGGTCCCCCCGCCTATCGAATTGATTGACAGCTGCGTATTAACATGTCTCAGTAATCACGTGTATAATCATATCAACAAGAGAGGACGAGCGCAAAGCAACCAGGAATAAAAGGTCTATTCAGTTTGCTAGGATTATCAATCATCATCAAATGTGATCCAGAGTGAGTTTTACAAGTTTAAAATGATTTAAAACAGTGCATGCGTGTAATGAATTACAGCGATTTACTTCAGCTTTCCTTAATCACCCAGCTGCATGTCAGAACAATTATGAAAGAAGACGCTTCAATCCCAGTTTGTGGACGTTAAATCAGGTTTATTTTGTACATTAACATAACAGATATCCATACAGCAGTGGAGATTAACCTGTATCGTCACATTTGCGTGCAATAACAGTGCAAAGCTAAACGGGCATGCTGTCTGTGTGTGCGTGTGTCTGCGCTGTGTGTGTGTGTGTATCTGTGATGTGTGCGTGAAGTTTGTAACAACATAGTGTGTGACTCATCGTTGCAACTCCACAACAAATGCATCAAATACTTATTGGTGAAGTTCTTACTGTAGTATTTCTCACAATCGTTGCGTGAGATCTGCTTCCTTTATGTCTGCCTGTTTTCTGACGCAGCCGAGGGAGGAGATTAAGGCACGCTAAATGGCACGTAGAAACGGTGGGCGGAAAGGACTAGCCTTAAAGGCACAGTACAACAGAACCGATACCTGATGGTAAAAGGTATAAAATTGAGTCTTATAAAAGGTATAATAAAAATCTGATGGGTGTTTTAAGCTGAAACTTTACAGACACTTTCTGGGACACAAAAAAACTGATATTAAATCTGAAAAAAGGGGTAACCTAGGTGCCCTTTAAACCACACTGAACTGAACTAAACTGAACTTCAACACTGAAAACTGGACTGACAGTTTCAATTTACTAGAAAATCTATGTTAAGCTGCTTTGACACAATTTACTGTACATAGTAAAAGTGCAATAGAAATAAAATAAAGACTTTAAAACATGTATTTCTCACGTAGAGTTTATTCAGGAAAAGTGTTTTCCTCTGCCATTATTCACATTAACCTTTTTTTTTTGTGCAACACCAGCAAGCGTAAAAACTTTGTTGCCAATTAGGAATTTTTTTTTTTTTTTAATTTTAGGATTTTTCCATGACTTGTTCATCATGCTATACTTCAAAATGCACATCAACAGTGGTTTATGGAAACCCAGTAATTGTCACAGTTGTTACACATAAGCTTTCTTCCTTCATTATGTGATTCAGAGTTGCATTGGGTTTGTTTTCAAGTGGACTGTTAAACATATGACAGACACGTCTTCTGGAAACCTTTTAAGAATTCAATCAATGAGACGATGACTTCAAAGCTCCCGACGTGTTCCCCATTTTGTATCATTATGCTTCAGACGTTCAGCCAGCGGTCTGTAGGCGTGCCGTCTGAGACTATATCTGGACAAGTGCATGTACTTGAGCTTAGTCATGCAAGAAAAGTGAAGTT